TTAATAGTAATGCTAGACCTAACCTTCACAGTAACTCTAACCCTAACCCTACCCCAGCCCTAAATCTAGCCTAGCCCTCATCTTTACCCTTGCCCTAACCCACACCCTAACACTAAACCAATTTAAACTTAAACACTAGCTTTAAATCAAACCTAAACCCTAACTCTCATATTTATCATAAAAATAACCATAACCCTAAATCTTACCCTAAGGCTTACCCTAAACCTAACCCTAGCCATTGTACTCAACCTAACTATACCCAAACCCTAACACTAAATGCTAGCCTTAAATCTAATCCTAACACTAATTCTCACACCTACAATAACCCTAATCCTAACCCTCACGCTAACCTTTGTCCTCACAATAACCCTACCCTAACCCTAGCCCTAACCCTAGCGCTAACCTTAACCCTACCCTAACGCTAATCCAAACCCTAACTCTAAACCTAGCCATAGTACTCAACTTCACTAAAGCTCTACCCCTAACCTAAAGCTAACTCTACCCTAACCCAAGCCCTAGTCCCAACCCTAGCAAACAAGCTAACTATAGCCCTAACTCAAACCCTAACCCTAAGCCTAACACTAACTCTAATCCTGGCCCTGTCCCTAACCCTAACCCTAACCCTAGCTCTAAACTTACACCTAGCCATGGTACTCAACTTCACTAAAGCCCTAACCCTAAAGCTAACCGTAATCCTAACCCTAGCGATCAAATTAACTATAGCCTTAACCCTAACCCTAAACCTAACACTAACCCTAACTCTAATCCTAGCCATAAACCGACCCCTAACTCTTATCCCAGTCTTAGACATAGCCTCAGCACTCACCCTAACCTTAACCCTAATCCTAGTGCTAACCATTGCTCCAGTCTTAAACCTAACCCTAACCATAGCCTTCATAAACCTAACCCTAACTCTAATCATAATCCACGCTGTAACCTTAAACATAACCCTAACCTTATCACTAACTCTAACCCTAAATTAAACATAAACCCTAACCCTAATCATAACCCTAAACCTCAGCCTAAACCTAACACTAATCCTATCTCTAGCCCTAGACCTAAACCTAGCATTAGCCCTACCCCAACCCCAATCCTAACACTAACTCTAACCATAACACTGACCTTAACCATAGCCTCAAACCTCACCCTAACCCTAATCCTTGATATATCCTTAAACCCTCATCCTAACACGAAACCTAACCCTAACCTTAGCCCTAGCCTTAACAGTAACACTAGGCCTAACCTTAACAGTAACTCTAACCCTAACCCTAACCCTAATCGTTGCACTCAAATTATCTATAGCCTTAATCCAACATAGCCTTAAATCGAACCCTACCCCTAACTCTCACATCTACCATAAACATAACCCTAACTCTAACCTTAGCCCTAACTCTGACCCTAGATTTTGCACTCAATCTAAGTGTACCCTGAACCAAACCACTAATCCTAGCCTTAAAATTAACCCTAACTCTAATTCTCATACCTACCATAACTTTAAACCTCGCTGTAACAATAACCTTAACCTTAGCTCTAACCATTACCCCATCCCAACCCTAACCGCTTTCAACTTAATTAAAGCCCATTCCCTAAACCTAATCCTAGCTTTAAAACTAACTCTAACCCTATTTCTCACACCTAACATAAACCTTTAACCTAACCCTAACCATTACCAAACCCCAACCGTAACCGTAGCCATTGCACTCGACTAAAGCTCTATCCCTAAACCTAATGCTAGCCTTAAAACTAACCCTAACCCAATTTCTCACATCTACCATAACCCTAATCTTAACAGTAACACTAGGCCTAACCTCAACAGTACGTTTAACCCTAACTCCAGCCTTAAATCTCTCCCTTGCCCTACCTCTCATCTTAACTCTGTCTCTAAGCCTTACTCTAACACTAACCGTAAACCTAAACTTAATCCTAAACATAATTGTGCAGCCCTCGACTTAAAACACTGACACTAGCCCTAACTCTAATAACTAGCATAACCCTAAACCTAACCCTAACCCCAGCTTTGGAATTAACCCTAATCCTAACCCTAACCCTAACCCTAATCCTTCACATAGCCTCAGCCTTCACCCTATCACTAACCCTAACTCTAACCCCAACACAAACCCTAACCCTATCCCACCCCTAGTGCTACCCTTTAACAGTAACCCTGACCTTATCAGAAACTCTAAACTTAACCTTATTCCTAGCCCTAAACCTAACAGTAGCCATAACTCTTACTCTTAAAACTAAACCCAGACGTAACTTTCCAGATTTACTAATGAATTTAAATACAACAAGCTACCATGATGAATCTATGTCCATTAGTCAGGAGTCTGACCCTCTGTGTCTTTTAAGATGGAGATGAGGAGATTTTTTTTTTATTCTCCTAAAGGGTTGTTAGTATGTGGAATTTTCTTTCCCAGAAAGGAGTGGAGGCTGGATCATTGAATGTATTCAAACAAGAAAAAAGGGTTTTTGATAAACAAGCCAGCTAAGAATTATGGAGAGGGGCAGATAGGAATGCCAGTTGTGACTGCAACCAAATCAACCATATCTTAATAAGTGACGGAGCAGAATCAAAGGGCTGAATAGCCAATTCTTACCCCTAGATCCCTATTGCTATTCCATTTGCCCACTGCTGGTAGCCATTTCAAGGAGGACCTTGAAGTTAGTATGAACTGAGTAATGTTACCACAATGTCACCACCTACCCCATTATACTATACATATCACAATTTTGAAGTGTAGATAAGCAGTGACACCTTGTCTATGTCTACAAATAATAAGGTGCTTATAGAAACATGTGGGTTACTTGGGTTTTAAGACAGAGGCTTAAATATAAAATCAAAGATCATGCTAGAACATGCTGGGGATGTTGGCAACAGATGGAGAAGGGAGATTTTACTCCACTTAGTTGTCTGGATCTGGAATGCTTTACATGAAAAAGTAGTGAAGGTTGACTCCATAAATAATTTCACAAGTGAGTTGGACAGCTACATGAGGATGACAAACCTTTAGGTTATGGGTAACCTACAGAATTTTGGGATTAAGCACAATTCCCCTTTCAAAAAACCAACAGAGGAAAGTGTGCTAACTGGTTTCCTTCCAGTTATTTTTAATCAAATTATTTGAAATTGCTATGGCACCTGCAGAACAGGTGGGATTTCTACTCAGGTCTTTGAGCTGAGTGGTATGGATTACCCCTACAAAAACCCTATGGCCTCCTTCTTTGCTCTAAGTTTCTAGGACTCCTGAAAAATGTAAATATTAACAACGGATGAGAATATCATTGCTCACACCATTTCTTAAAACTTGTGTCCCTGTTGAAACTCCTAATATGCTTCTCAGTCCACTTACATTACAGTACATTCTGTTAATTTCTCCTATGTTTGCTGACCTGTCTGACTTTAAAATTTTCAGGTTTGTTTTCAAATCTACTCATGACCGCACTATTTTTTTCTACCCTCTTCTAGCCCAACAATCTTCCAAAATCTCCAACCTTTCAATTTCTGATCTGATGTAAATCTCTGATTTCAATCACTCTACCATTGGCAAATCCACCTAATCTGCACACCTTTGTATGGGAGGAAACCAGAGCATCCAGAGGAAACCCACGCAGACATGGGGACAGCGTGCAAACTCCAAACAGTTGGCCGAGGATGGAACTGAACCTGGGTCTCTGGCGCTGCGTGGCAGCAGAGATGACCAGTGAACCACCATCCTGCCCTTTGGCTTACGTGATTCGAAAAATGTGAATGAATCGATCATAATCTTTCTTCACTTAAATTTTTGGCAAAATGAAATTGCGCACAATAATGCTTGGTGATGGCAATAGCAATACAGAATCTGGGCTGAATTTTAATACACGTAAACTGATGGATTTGGATCATGACACAAGTTCCAATGCATAAATCTGACTGAGGAACTGAATCACCCTACTTCCACTTTAAGTGGTGATCAATTTGTTTTTCAGAAGCAGATTAGTTATTTAATATAAGGAGGGTATAGGTCTTTATTTTTAAGTCATTCTTTTAAACCAGAGGTGGTCAGGCTTCCTGGGCCTCAAAAAGGCGTGAATCCATGAGACAAACGCAGCTATGGTAGTCGTATTACCAAAGGAGCAGGAGTTCTACAATAATGCAATGATCACAAAAGGTGGCAATCTGCTTACCTGACCCATCCTACTGAGGGAGCAATCTGCCTACACACTCTTGTCGGCTTCAGCCCTGTGAAGCAGATTTCCTGTCCAAAACTCCATCCTGTCAATCAAGATGTCCATGGATAGGAAACTTCCACTTAAAGGACACTTAAAGAATGGCCTGCTTCTGCACTGTAGGGATTTTATGAACTGCAATCTAGATAATATAGGAACATAGTTGTAACAACAAAACAACTTGTGGCTTGGCATTCATCCATGTATTGTATTTACCCTAAAGTATACTTTGAGTAAGGTAATTCTATTCATGGATATGCAATGCAAGGAAGAATTTCTAGCCACTTTTAGTGCCATAACTTGGCACTGATTAAAACTTGGTCTGTGAGATTTTCATAAACTCTATGTAGATGCAGCATTTTAATTCAATTAGGCTTCTGATAATCTTTAGAGGTTTCTGTAGGATAATTTCTCTTTATACTGTTGGATGAATTTGCCTTTGCAATGATCTACTATTGAATTGGTAAACAAATAAGGGGCTTTGTTTATTGTAATGCCAAGATCTTTGGCAGGGTCTACGAGCTAAAAGTTAATACCCTCAGCCTTGTGAATCAGATGTCTCACCAGCCTTTAGTCTTGATCCAAGGGAACAGCAGGTCATGTTAGAACCCTGGTTTTCCACAACTACTATCATGACCACTCAAATTGTATGGCTTCAGGCATTAATTTTATTTTGTCTCCATTCAATGGATAACTTTCTGTCCCCCATACAGTATTAAATTAAATGACTTATAAAAAAAGTTCAAATTAACATTGAAAAAAAAACCCAAAAAAAAATCGGTTGCTGCTTTCAGAATATTTCAAAACATTTCCTTTAATATTCAGTCATCTAATGCAGCGATACATCATAAAGTCTATAGTGGTACATCGCGGAAATTTACCGATTGAACTTTCTTCCACTGGTGTATAGACTTTAATTTGTCTCATGTGAGTGTCTCTTCCATTCTGATGATTTGCTAGTACAGCAATCTGTATCATAAACGTACGGATTGGCTTCTTGTTGACATCAGTGAGTGGAACATGAATCCATCCACTTGGCTCTACCAGTTCCAGTTGCTGCAGTTCAATTAGAAAGGTATATTCAATACTGTTTCCACTTTAGTGCAATCAAATTGAATAAAATAACCAAATGGTTCTAAGAAAGACACAAGTAATACAAAGAAAAAATCAGCTTTAGAACTGCTCAGCAATTTTTGAGTTTCAAATATTCTTATAAAAAGTTTGATTGTAGGTCATCAGTCACATATTTGTAAAGTAACTGGATTGCTACATAAAATGATGTATTAAACAAAAATCTAATGTCAAGTTGCAAATAGAAAAACAAATCACAAATATTACATATAACTTGAATTGCAGTGGTTCAAGAAGTTAGTTCAGCACTACCTTCTCCAAGGGCAATAAGGGATGGGCAATAAATGCAAGCTCAGCCAGCAATGCCCGCATCTCATGAATTTATTAAAAAATGTCATCAAAATTTATGCCTTCAAGCCGTTAAATTCACATCTTCTTCCCTCTCAATCCGTGAAACTATAGAAGACTTAAAATGTACTGCATTATTATGTATGGGCATCTCTTACAAAAGTATTTGTATAATGTAGACAACAGCACCAGAAATAAACATCTGCTTTTAAATAAATTTAGCACTGCCACAAAATAGAGAACATTTTTCAACTGCATGTTCCTGACAAGGAATTCTATTGGCAGGAATCATACATTAGGAAATCAGTATGTCAATAATTTCTCTTTATTATGGTGTGAGATTCCCCAATATGTACTTCTGTTAGACTTTGTAAATCTATCCAAACAGGCAGATCCTCAGTTAACACATCACCCATAGTCCATGAATAATACAACATTCCCTTAGTACTGTAGTGACATATCAGCCAGGACTGTGCATTTATCCCAGAATGGGGCTTGAACTCATAACCGCTCAAGGGAAAAATGCTACTACTAAGCTGTGTTAGCATTCAGGAGCTCGAGTAATGAATGGCTCAATTAAGAGGAAGCTGCCTGCCCCAGACAACTCCATGCTCAAATCCTCAGCCAGGGCTTTTCTGACAAACACAAGATTTCAGGGAAAATAATGTAGAGAAAAGTGTATGAATGTTGTGCATGTGGTTGGGAACAATAGAACAGAGAAAAAAGCCAAGACAGAAAATAAACTGCACACCTGCACAAACAGTAGCATGGAAGTATTAAATGGAGTTAAAATGTTAAGATTGCTTTCTCAATAACTTAGTATTTCCAATAAAAACAGCATGAAATCGGTATTTTTCCATCTGCAAAGAGGAAAAACAGTACACTGTGTATATTTTAAGTGTCAAAGTACTGCTAGAGGGTAGCTAGGCAAATGACCATAACTGCCTCCAACATTAAAAACCTGTATTGTCGAATTAAAAGGTAATTGTTTAACTTGGCTGTATGATGGCCAAATAGACTTTCAGCTATAATACTTCACCCATGCACTGTTCGACTATAGAAAGATTTTCCTGGCAAACTTCACTATAGTTGATTATATTTACAGATCATTCAATTTATAACTTTAAGCCAGATTACTGAGCATTATCATCAAGTCAAAGAAGCCAGTTTCTGTACATAAACAATGCAAGACTGTTTGTGTATTATATAATCAGCTTTAAGTATTTCCATAGACATTCAATTGAGCTGCCAAGTTAACATTTGCATTTTTAGTTAAAGATTTGTATATTTTACATGCTGAAAAATACATGAGAGACAACCATGTCTTTACATGTCTACAATTATATAGTTTCTAAGATCGTTTGGGTCTACTGAACTGGATTGAGCTCATACAATGAAGACAATGGTAAAATTTTCCAAGTGGTTGAACACTTACGCTGAAACTGTAGAAAACTAACAGCAACCCATTATGCATTTGCATAACCTACCACCCACATTGTTGAAGGAGCAGCTTTCAAACACACGCATTAAGCTCAAAAACCACCAAATCCTTTAACACCCATTCACATTTTTACGACATTTCATTTAGTTGAAAATGTGAAAAGAAAATTAGCTTTGTGTTCTTGCAATGAATCTACTGTGCTGATGGATCAATTGTGAACTCAGCTGCCGTCTGGGACACATGACTAAAAGCAGGTTAAAAACAAAAATGGTGAGTGCTGTATACTCTTTATATCACTCTTGTGAACCACATAGGATGACTGAAAAAAATATCTTCCAGAAGTTCCCACAGTGTGTGCGGATACAGTGTTCATTACTCTCAAATACATCACAACATTATGCCCATAGAATTAAATGTAGCTTTATTCTTTACTCCACTTGATGCTTTAGGCTCTGCTCAGCTCACACTTCGGAAAACTGAAATAGTATAAAAGTGATTTAAAAAGCGAACGTCTTTAATATTTGGAAGGAGCAGTGAGTAAAAATATACTTATAGGAATGCACCTAGAATATTACTGAACAGTTTATCAAGAATTTCAGACTTAGAAACCAGTAGAAAGCCTTATAGAAGCTCAAAGATTTGTAAAAGACAATTGCAACATCAATTTTATAGAGTTTGTGATTCAGCCTCATCAACTGTCTTAATCGCTATGCTAATGGATAATGCAATAGGCCAAAAAAAAAATCACTTTCCAAATGTTGTAGTGTCCTTTTATTTAAGGTGGGAGGGAGGGAGCGAAGCACACAACAGAACCACAGGGACAATAGTAGCTATAATCACCAAAGATTTTTCACATATGCAGACAGTAAACTATAAATTTCCAGGAATTGAAAGTTTCTCAAACTTAATTGGATCATGAATATCAGGTCTCCTGCAGTCAAAATTAGCCGGATTCTTCCCTTCAACAGTCGCATATTGATTGTTGCCACTTGACAGTATTGGATGAATCCGTTTTGATACTGTATGACTCTAATTCTATAACACCTACAACCTGTAGAAATGTACCCCAGGATAGGATCAACAAAGACGGATGGGGAGAAAGTTAATGACTTGTTTTTGAAAACCTTTTGTGTAATGATGTTAGATATTCTGCATAATTTCAAAAGACACAGCATTCCTAAAATATAAAGTCTTGAAATACAATGTTATAGGAACTTCAATCTGTAAAAAGGACAAACATTGAGAAATTCCTACATCAGGGCTTCTCAAATTGTGGGTTCAGCAGTCAAAATTCTGGGTTGTGAGCTCTGAGGCAGCAGCTATGGAACTATGGAGCTATGTAGTGCTAGTTGCCGATTTGGCCTCTTAAGTCTCTTTGTATTTCTAATGGCTGAATTGCCCAATCCTCAAGGCCATTAGCATATGGAGTGTTGGTCTTTATTTCAAAGGGAATGTAGTATAAAAGTAGAGAGGCTTTACTAACTATACAAGGCACTAGTCAGATCACAGCTATAATACTGTGAACAGGCTTGGGCCTCTTACCTAAGGAAATATATACTGACATTGAAGGCAGTCCAGAGAAGTAGGTCAATAATGGGTACAGAGGAATTGTCTTATGAGATAAGCCAAGTAGGCTGGGCCTGTATTTATTGGAATTTAGAAGAACGAGAAGCAATCTTATTGAAACATACGAGACTCTTCGGGGACTTAACAGGATCCTTGCGGACAGCTTGCTTCCTCATGTGGGACAGTCTATGATACGACTAGAGGGCATAATCTAAGAATAATTAGCTGCACAGTTAAGGCAGAACGAGGAGGAATTTCTTCTCTCAAAAAGATAGTGAATCAATGGATTTACTTACTGCAGAGGACTGTTGAGGCTGGGTCATTAAGCGTATTCAAGACAGAGATAGACAAATCTTTAATCAGTACAAGAATCAAGGCAGGTAAGTGGAGTTGACGATATCAGATCAGCCATGATCTCACTGAATACTGGAGTAGACTCAATTGGCTGCATGGCTTACTTCTGCTCCTACGTCTAATGACATGTGGGTTTTGATCTGTTTTTATGCAAGTTGTAATGATTGACTTTTTAGTATTTCTAGGGCCATAGACTTTTGAAATCAGTGTAAGAGAGATAGTTCCTGGAGTGCTGATAAGAATTTGTTTGCAATGGGAGAGTTTTACAACTGGACAAAGTAAACATTGAAAAAGAGGGCGATGTTGAGAAGTGATTGAGGAGGATTCTGGGAGAGGTTGGCATGGTCATCACGACCAAGGGGATAATGTCCTGGTGTCCAAGACAGTCACACCTGCATGAAGTGCCAGAGGATAGCAGTCCTAGCACAACACAGATCTCTGCACAGTACACCATATATGGAGAGAGGTTTCTGAAACAGTTGAACCAGAGGGTGGTCACTCTGCATAGTGATACGCAGGCATGGAAGACTGCAGGAACGGCAGGTAAGTGGGTGACTATTCACCGAAAGGAATGGAGATAGCAGGTCCAGGAAACCTAGAAAATCTTGGAACTGTCTAACAAGAATGAAATTATAGGTGCCTCTTTAGTGAGCAACATGATCAAGCCAGGGGTGGATGACTTGAGAGAAAACCATAGTACTTTGGCACCCAAGGCTACTCTGGGAAAAGAGAAAGAGGCTTTAGGCAGATTAGAAAATTGTTTCAATAGTTTGAGGGATAGATTGTCCAGTTTGCAGCTGAGATCATGAGTCCCATGTGGTCTGTTCCATTCCAGATTCAAAGATTTGGGACATAACAGAAAGGGTGCATAAACTTCTGGAAAGGCAGCGGGAACAACTAGTGGTTGTGGCTCATGTGACAACCAACAACACAGGGAAGGACAGTGTGGAGGATTTGCAGGGTTGGTTTCAGCCATTAGAGTAGGTTAAACACAGGACTTACAGGTTAGTAATCTCAGAAATACTACCTGTGTCATGAACTTCACCATTTAGGCAAAGGCAGATCAGGGAGGTAAAGGTGTGGCTTGAGGGATGGCGTAGAAGGGAGAGTTTTAGATTTTTGGGACATTGGGATTACTTGTAGGAAAGGAGAAAGCTGTTCAGAAGAGATAGGTTTCATCTGAGCAGAAACAGAATTAATCCCCACTGTAGCAGGGCTACATTTAAACTTGTAAGACAGGGGGCGGGGTTGGTGGCGGGATGTGGGTTGATTTGTG